CCCCCCCCCCCCCCCCCCCAAATAGATATGCCACGTAGGATGATTCGTTTAGGCTGAAATTTTCAGAAATGAATGATCGTAGTAAGAGACACTTCTAGTAAAAGTTTTCAACCGATATGTCAAACTAGACGAGATTTCTGGTTAGAGAGCTGCGGGTCCTTCCAGATCCGGTCTGCTTTAAGTTATGAATGGAAATATATAACAATAACAATTGAAGTCAACAAAATTGAAAAAGAAACAGTCAGAAATAATTCTACACTCATTTTACCTTTAAAGTCGCCAATAAAGAGCTAAAATTGTGTTCCCTTTTCTGTTCAAGGTCACATAGGGTGTCAAATATTGGTGAAAAAAGGATCGGGTCTAGACCCGGCCGGAGTCCGGGTTTAGACTCAGTCAGGTTCGGGTCTGAAAATTTAGTTTTTCTGGGGCCAGGGTCCGGGTCCGGGTCCAAAAAAACATGGACCCGCAGCTCTCTACTTCTGGTCTATTTATAGTCAATTTTTTAGCCTGCAAGAGAATCACTATAACTTCCTTATTACAAGAGATAGAGGGCTCAGAGTGATTTCAACTTAAAGTTAACTCCAGTACGCAATTTTTCATCGGGTAGAATTTTGAAATTCATTTTCATTCATTTTCTATAATCGTTTCAGTACACATGGAATCCAAATAAGCCAAAAAAAAATGCCACTGTATGACATCAAATAGTGCTTTTCTTATTGCAGAAATCAAATATAAAAAATCTGGCTAGACAAAATTTTACTCTCGCTTAGACCTTTAAAACAAAAAAAAATATTGGTATTATCTTGAATCGTGCGGGAATTATTTTCATTTTTCTAAATCAAAAACCATGTTTTTAAGAAAAATAATAAATAAGTTTAGAAATTGAGTTTTTCATTCAAATCTAAAAATAACGGGATATTGATAATCTTTTTGGGGAATTTTTGAAATCACGCAATAGATGACCTAAGCTAGCCGTATGGTTCGTACTATGTCATATAAAAATGTCTTGATAGAAGTAGCAAAATAGTGTTCTCAAAAATAGCCAAAATCTCTTCAAAAATCGAATAGATAGCTGGAAATCCCCTACGGAGGTCTATTAAAATTTGATCTTTTTTTTCAAAAGCCTATATATATTCTGAAAGAGAAAACTTCACTGCATCTTCTTCCTATGATAAAAACTCAACTTCCATCACATTACAAACAAATGGATTTTCTGAAGGGCCCTCCCCCCTCTTACATAGGTCCACAAGAAATTAAAGTTATTCTGGTCTAACTTTTTTTTTTTTTACAAAACTATGATAAACCTTTAATAGTTTTAGATCCTTTAGGGTGTGTGTGTGAGTGTAGATATTAATGTTCTCTTCCTTCACTCATACCTACACTCACACCCTAAAGGTATTAAAGGTACTCAAAGGGTTAAAGAGACTAAAAGTTTATCATAGTTTTGTAAAAAGTTAGACTAGGATAAATTTAATTTCTTGTGGAACCCTCAATACGAAAGACGATATTACAGATTGTTTGTCAGCAATTTGATTATACCATGCTTAAGAAAGCAATACAATCATATATTAATGAGTAGATTGAATATTTTTTATAGGTGTTAGCATAAATTATGCATCTCCATCTGACGAACGCGCAATATAAAAAGAAAATTATATTCTTAGACAATCTCAAAGATGTTTCATATTTATTAATGTCCTGATTTTTGATTGATAACTCGATATTAAAATATTTTTGTAAATTCTATTATAATAATTATATAATCCTATGAGGAATTCCCAAAACAAGGCTCAACCAATCATATGTTTTTCTTTTTTGAATGGAAAGAGTTCTTTCTTGTGAGTAAATGAATCGAGGAATTATACACCAATGAAATACTGAATGAATCAGTAAATTACGTATCTCACCTTTTTCTTTCTTTCTGTCAAAAAAAAGAAAAAAAATTATTCTTTTTTTATTATTTAGATGAAATGTATGCAGAAGTTTGTGCTTATTTAACAACCAATCGATACTTTCAATTACCAAATCATGATGTAAGATTTTTTATTTATTATAATACAAATAAGAGAAAATAAAATGTATACATTAAATTCATTTTTAGAAAACTATGATCAATTTTACATCTATTTTTTGTTTTATAATTTTTATTGTCATGTGTTTTATTGGTGTTGGAATTATAAGACGTTCGGATTGGAAGTATGTTTTATAAATTTTATGAAAAAACAAAAAAACAAAATTGTTTTTTTATTTAGATTTGGTGATAATGATGATGATGAACCTGAAAAACATTTATCCGATGAAACAATATCTACAGCAACTGCATTATTATCAAAAACACCTCGAAATAGTATTATTCATTCATCAAAACATTCAACATCTAATGTTCGTCATCGAGTTCATTTTGAATCTTTAGATGAATGTAACCATTTAAATAGTGAACATATTTAGAAAATTCCTAGTATTCGTTCTTTTGTGAACAATCTGTTTTTCTTTTCTTTCCTTGCTTTCTCTTTTTATAATCTCCATATTTTTGTATCTTATTCGTTGTCAGTTATCCACTGAATAATTTTTATAAAAAAAAAAACGAAAGAAATATATAGAATAAATTGAATACAAATTATAAAAAAAAAACGAAAATATTCTTTGTAAAGGCAAGTATATTTTTATCCAATCATTTTGCAACAGGCTGTTCAAAAAAAGTAATTGCAACATGTAGATAAAATTATTTTAGTATAAAAGGAGCTTACAAATTTGAATTGCTTTCACTTTTTTTTTGTTTGACTTGAAAAAGAAAAATGTAAGTTTTATGATTTGAAAGATTTTTTTTTTTTATTTTTCTCTTCTAGATTCAACGATGTCAAAAAATCTTTTACATCAATCAGCATCATCTGATGCTCTTCGTTTAAAAGCTTTACAATCTGGTTTTGAAAGTCGTGTTGAAGTTAATCAACGAATGTTAATTGATAAAATGCTTGCACGTTATTCATCAGATTTTGTTGTTTGTCGTGAATTAATTCAAAATTCTGATGATGCTAAAGCAACATCATTTCATTTTGAAATAATTTGTGATGATGATAATGATGAATTAATTTCTTTATCAGAAAAAAATTTTCATAATAAAACTATTACAGAAATTCGTGCTATTAATAATGGTCTTATATTTAATGAAACAGATTGGAAACGTGTTGCTGCTATAGCTGAAGGAAATACAAATGTTGAATCTGTTGGTCAATTTGGTGTTGGATTTTTTTCTGTTTTTTCATTTTCAGAAGAACCAATAATAACATCAGGTAATGAATATATGGCATTTATTTGGCGTGATGATAATTCTTTAACAACATATCGTCATGAATTACCATTAGAACAACAATCAAAATTAACATCAATTATACTTAAAATGCGTACAAAATATATTTTACATACAGAAACAAATCTTGATTTTGATTCAATCATAGATATTAATGAAAATTCTTCAAATAATAAATCTCCAAATAGAAAACGACAAAAAAAAAGTATAACATCAATAACAACAAATGATATTATTCCAACAATTAATCTTGCACAACTCAAAGCTTATTTTACTAAAGGTAGAGTACTATATTCTAAAAAAATACATAGTACTATTGTAAAAACTAACATATTGCTTAATTAAAAATAAAAAAAAATTTGATAGATTTACAATTACGCCACGGTATCTTGTAAGTATCTTGACTGACATGTTACACTTGAGTGATTTCCAATATTAGAAATAGCATAAATAAATATATATATATGTTTCAATATCTATACCTTGGGACATTGAATGATAAAATAATTTCGATAATATAAATTACCAAATAATTAGAAACAAAAAAAAACAATAAGTTACTACTTGGCGTGTACTGCTAGATTTTAAAACACATTTTTAATTACTTTATAATTCATTTTTTCATCATGAATTTATTTGATGAAATTTTCATATGAGATAAAATATTGATGATTATTAAATTTTTCTTTTCTTTTCTTTAGTTTTATCATTTACAAAATATATAAATGAACTTGTTATAAAAATTAATCAAAAAATAATTTTTAAAGTAACTAAAACAAGAAAATCTATATCATCAATAAAATCTAATGTACAATTTAAAAAAAATTCTATACATAATATGTTACATTTTGATTCATTAATTCAAACTGAACAAATTTTTTCTATTGATCATGGTCCATCTATAATATTAAATCATATATCTGTTGATGCAACATTAATTATTGATGAAAATTATCATAATCATATTCGACGTATATTAAAAAAAAGTTTACCATCAAATGTACAAATTCAACTTTTATATACACCTAATAATGTAAAAAAAAAAAAAGAAATATAATTTATATTTTAATTTTGAAATATTTCTTTATTCAGATTGTCATGACACAACAACAACAAAGAAAATCTTCAAAAATTGATGATCTTCATATGAAAATTCTTAATTCATTAATACCATTAAAATTTCAAAATGATGAAATTTATCCATCAGGTTTAATATTTATTGGTCTTGGAACACATCAAACAACTGGTATAGGAATGCATGTTTATAGTCATTTAATACCAACAATTGAACGTGAAAATCTTGATTTACAAGATCCATATATATCAAAATGGAATAGAGAACTTCTTTTATCTGTTGGACAAATAATTAGACATGTTTATGATCAATTAATATCTACTAATAAACAATTTGATTCTATACTTGCTTCTTATTCATTTCAACCATCTGTACCAAATAATGAAATTGGTAAAAAAAAAACTTAATATTTCTCTTTTTCAATTCTAAAATATATAGTAAATAATTTTCTATATTTCATATGCATTATAACATACAGTAAAACCTCCCTATAGTGGACACGTATGAGACTTTTTGAAAGTGTCCACTATAGGGAAGTTTGGTCTTTTCAAAAAAGTGAAGTTTTTCGAAGAAGCGGGCGCGTTTTCTAAGGATTTGAAGGGTGTTAGTGAATAAGATAACTAACCAATGCTCATTGTTACTTCTCTCCTCATGCACTTTTATTCTTGAAATACAAAAAAATCAACAATTGTTAGAATACAGGAGGGCTCTTTAGTTGACATTGAATGAGACTTCTCAAAAATGTCCAGTATCGGATGATGTCCACTATAGAGAGGTTCAGTTCCAGCAAAAACGTCTCCGTCGGACCGCGGAGTGTCCACTATGGAAGGTTTTACTGTATTGAAAAAGATCTTTAATTAAAATCGAAAAATCTACTCGAGATATATTCTTATTTGTTTAGAACATTAAACTAAAATTTGTTTTTTTTTTCTCTTTATTTTAAAGGTACGATTATTGTCGATGGATTTTTTTCAATAAATAAAGATTTACTTGTTCCTATTAAACAATCACCAACAGATATTAATCTTACACTTATTCCATCAACACAAGCATATATAGCAAATTCTAAACATATACATTCTTTTCTTACATTACCACTTGTACCATATGAATTAAGTAAAAATGGTTTATTTCAAGCATTAAAAGATCGTGATTTAATTAATGAAATAAATAATGATTTAATTGAATCAACAATAATAACAACAATACTTTTATCAAATCAATTTGTTGAATTTCTTCATTGGTTATCAAATCAAAATAATAATAATGATAAACAATATATTAAACGTTTATTATCTATAGTACGTTTTCGTGAAACAAATAATTCATCAATAATAACATTAGAAAAATTAAAAAATTATGATAATTTTAATATATCAACATTATTACCATTACCATCACATGTTTTACCAGCAAGTGTAGCTTCATATTTATCACGTGAAGAATTACAAAAACAATTATCATTAACACCATTAACATTAAAAGATTTTCTTCATTATTATTTACTTAAAAATCAATTATATTTATTTACAAAAGAAAATACATCAACATGTTTATTACATATTATATCAAAACATTCAGGACAATTAAATAAAACAGAATGGAATAAACTTAAAACAATATTATCAACAATAACATGTATACCAACAAATCAAGGTATGAAAATTCCAAATGAATCATATATTCCATCATCAATTTTATCATCAGATTTACCAATTATAACATTAAATGTACCACAAAATTTAACTGATGATGATGATGATGATGATAATAATAATAATAATAATGATGAACAATCTATAATTGAAAATATAGAAAATTCTGTATCAGCTGAATTTCTTAAACGATTAGGTTGTCGAACATTAAATGTACAATCATTTGTACATGCACGATCATCATTAATAAATTCAAATTCACATACAATGAAAACATTAATACAACATTTAATGGAAGAACGAGATAATATGAGTGAAGGAGATTTTAATGCATTAAAACAAAGTGAATGTCTTCGAGGTAAATTTCAACAATGATATATATATATAAACTATTTAAACATAATATCTTTATTTTTAAGGTACAACTCTCATACCAAATAAAGATAATACACGAAAATATGCACCACAAGATTTACATTTTCCATCTGTTGCTATTCAACTTCAATGGTCAACATTACCAATAATTGATTGGTATGATATTGATCCACGTTCACATGAATATACATTTTTAAAAGAAATTGGTGTACGTGAAGTACCTGATTTACAAAAATTAATTGATCGAATTATTGAAGAACATAATGAACAAAAGAAAAAATCTATTCAAGAATATAAAATACCAATAGGACTTAAATTTTTAGCTGAAAATTTTCAACAATATTATTCTAAATTATGGAAAACAGCTAAAATAAAACGAGCTTTTCTTCCATCATTTTCACCATCAAAAACAATTATATTATCAATACCCGATGAAGTTTTTAAAGGTTTTATATTATTTATTATATATATATATATTTTGATTTTTACTTATTAGATGAAAGTCCATTATGTGCAACACTTTTATCTGATGTTGTTCAATTATTTGAAGAACATTTTAATATAGCATTACTTGGTATTAAAGATCGTCCAACATTAACAATAGCTTTTGATATTCTAATGGAAAAAAAAGAAGAAATTCTTAATATTGAAACTGCTCCAAAAATTTTTGCTTATATGAATCAACTTGATGGTTTAAGTCGACCATTAATTGAACGTATATCAAAACTTGCTTTTATTCCACTTGAAGGTAATGAAAATTTTATGAAACCATCACAAGTTTTTATTCGTCCTGATAATTCAATAACATCATCAAGATTACGACAAATAAATGTTATTATTCCAACATCATCTGATGATAATGATGATGAAATAACACGTACTAGTGGTCGTCGTCGTAAACGAAATAATGCTAAAAAAACAACAATATCAAAAAATAAAAAAACTAAAACAATATCATCAACTCCATTATTAATGGATGATGATACAGATAAAACTGGTTTAATTGATTATATTGATTATGGTTCTGAAGGAAATTCATTTCTTCTTGGTATTGGTGTACTTCATCATCCATCTGCAAGTATTTTAGCTGAATTATTAATTGATCGACAAGAAAATTATTTTATAAATATAAATCAAAATAATTCTAATGATTTACAACAAAAATTACTTGCATATACAAGTTGTCTTCGACAATTAGCAATTGCAGCTCAAACAACAAATGAATTACAATCAATATCATTAATAAAAAGATTAAAAACAGAAGCTTGGTGTTTAGGTTATCAAATTCTTGAAAAACGTTCAAATAATGAACAACGACAACGTTTATTTAAAATTGTACCACCAAATGAAATTTATCTTGATGATGATCATCAATGTGCTATTGATCTTCGACCATTATTACCACCAGATGAACCTGAATTAACAAAATTATATGAAAAATTTGGTGCTTCATGGTTATCAGAATGTGTTAAAAGAACTTTAGTACATAAAGGTAAAGTAAATAAAATTTTTAAAATAAATATTAAATTTTTTTTTTCTTTTTGTAATTTTTGTAGGAAAAATTGCTACATCAGATCGTGGTAATAAATTACGTGATTTAATACAATATCGTCTTGATATGTTATTTGTTAATAATCGAGTAAAAAAACAAAAAATTTTATTTTTTATCATACTCTGATTTTTTTTTTAAGGGTGAAAAAATGGAAAATCTTGATGAAAAACATATTGATATGTTACGAACAACTTTATCAGTTTATGAAGTTGATGGTATTCAATGTCAATTAACATTTCAAAAAAAGACAATTACACTTGATGTAAAAATTATTTATTATTGATTTATATTTTGATCTTTCTTTTCTTTTTTTATTCTAGTCAACTGATAGTAGTTCGTGTGCACTTGAATATGATAAAAATAAAGTTTCATTATATTTTCAAAAACATATACGTGAATTTGATTATATTGATATAGCTAGTGAATTAGCAAGATTTGTATTTAAAAAACCACATGATACAATTGTACATACAATAAGTGATAAATTAGCATCACCATTAGAAACACTTAAACGTCGTGGTGTACCTGTTGATCGTTTATTACAACATAATCAACAAAATATTCGTTCAACAATATCAATGTTTCAACAACAATCAGATTTAAATCATAATAATGATAATTATCATCATCATTATCATGAAAGTCATGTAGAAATAATGAATCGTGTAGATGATTTTAATCGTCAACATATGAAAGATGATACAAAATTATTTTCTATATTAAAAAAAGGTCGTGCATATACACAAACAAAATTTATTCAACAAGAACATGTTAAAGATGAAATTGATCATTCATGTGAAGCTATACCATCAGCAAATATGACACGTTATAAAGATTTATTTCATTCAATACCATTATATATTGAACGAAATGTAATTATTACAAATAAAATGTTTGATCAAGCTAAACAATTAGCTTGGATTTTAATTGGACTTGCTAATCATGTTTTTAAAATACCTATTGAAACATTACATCTTTATCGAGATATTGATGGAGGTAAAATTGAAAAACAAAATTTATGATATTTTATTTATTTTTTTTTAGCTCGTATTGCTTTTAATGATCGTCGTGCATTATTTTTTAATCTTCGTTATTATGAACAAGTTTTTGCTGATAAAGTTCAACCATATTTACAAACAATATCACCATCAATACCAATAATACATACGATTGTGAATTTTTATTTTATATTAACATGTCATGAACTTGCACATAATCTTGAAATGGCACATAATTCTAATTTTATTAATCATTTAGAAACAATAGCAGTTAAATTTATGACAGAAAAAGATTTATTCTTAGAGCAATTTTCATTTCAAAATTATTTACAAAATAATCTTAATTGAATGAAATATTTTGTGTTGTTGGTGTTGTTATGTAATAACATATATATAAATAAAGATATTCTATATATTTTGAAAGAAAAAAAAAAAACATTATTTCATATCTGTAAAAATCTTGAATTTTTGCCTGAAAATTATCTAGGAATCATTAGAAGTTATGAAATAAATTGTTTCGTAATAGTTTTTTGGAGTAGCTGTTCTTGTTCAGTTGTTGATACTCTATCTTCTATTATGTTTCTTTAAAAAAGTTCGTTTAAGTTTATAGTCATCTGTAAGGATCAACTTTTTTCAATCAAAAGCTATGCAGTATTTAACAGACAGTTGAGGTTAACATTTAACCAATTCAATTCAATGTAATAAAAATTTGAGTATAGATATTTTTGACATAGCTGATTCAAACACAACTATTTTACAAGCAGACAACATTAACACAATATGAATCGAAGCCTTCTTTTTCTGTCATATTTTTGTCGATTGAAAATTTTGTTCTGATCAATGAACAAATCTTGTTGGAACAATCGATTGACCAGCTGCTTTAAACATTACGGTGTTATGACTTGGTTCAATAGCACTACGTGTATGCCATGGCCATAATTGTAAGATTTTTTTAATTTTATTTCGAAGATGAGGTAAGGTTCCAGCGCAGACGAATGGAAGTAGAAAATTGATATAATAAGAAAAAAATTGTCCGTACGCTAAGAAATTTTCTAGATAACTCCACGGAACGCCACAGCCAAAGACGATTGCTACAATAACATTAGGTAAATAGAGAAAATAAAATAATAATGTGATTGATATGAGTTGAATGGCCATTTTTCGATGTTTACGCCAATTGACATGTTGATTAAGACGATGTTTTTGTTTTACAATACGAATAATAAGAGTCATGCTAAAACTAGCAATGATTATAGAATTTGTTATTCCGCTGGTGACAAACTCAAACATAGAAAACACGGCACTATTATATGCACAACTATAGAATCCACAGTATGTTATCGTAGGATCGTATGACCGATCGCAATAAAGAAAAAAAGTAATAATTATATATAGAAGAATTCCATAGGCAACGATGGCACTAATTGGTATATAATGTAGGAGAGTTTTTTTTCTTTTTGTAGACATCCAACTATCATGAAAAATGAGAATATATCGTTCGATTGATGCCCATGCAACGAGCCTTGCTGTCGTCGAATATGTTGAACTATCAATAAATCTCCAAGTTTGACAAAAGAATGGTGTAAATATCCAGACAATACCATTCAGATACTGATAGATAAGCCAAGGAATATCTGTTAGCTGAGTGACAAGATTTATGATAATAAGAACAATGACTACATGATTATGTAAACTACAACGAAGTGTTCGATCAAAGAGAAGATAGTAAAGTACAAATATGGAACAAATAATTGATGCAATATTTGATATTAAATACATCCAAAAACGTCCAATAAATGGAATTGCAATATCTGCCATAATTACTCACTTGATAAGATGTTACTTTTAGCTAGAAATTCAAGTAAAATATATATCAAACCAACGTTTTATTTTCAGATACTAAATCACATTATCTACGAAAATAAGAAGACATTCAGATTTTGACTTAAAAGTTATTTAAATGGATGTGAATGATGCTTCTAATTCATCTCATGCCATCACCGATTAAATCTGAATTAGAAATCTTACCAATAAAAAGTCATACGATTAATACTACATCATATAAAAGAAATTCGCATTTTCTAAACATAGTAATTTCCTATTACTTATGACTATAGTGTACACTGTAGGATTGTAGACATGCTGTTTGAATATGACAATATTTTATAAATGAGATGCAATATAAATATAGGTATCATGTGAAAAATCTTAATTTTGTATTAGGATGAAAGAATAAGAGAATCGAGTGAGCTCATGTAGATAATAGAGTGAAGCACATTTTGTTTTTATTCACTTTGATGTCAACGTCCTATAAATGCAACTTCACAGCATGAAATGTGTTGTTTTTCATTTGTAAATCTTTAATAAGACAGGTTTTTGATGACTAAAAATTGAATGCCGTTTTAATGATGATAAAAATAATATGAACTGACAGCTTATTCACCAAGCAATGTTCATTCAAAAAGAAAATTTTCCTGCTTGAACAAATATAAATTTAGTTGAAATGCTTCGCACCTCAACATATCAGTCGAGGGATATTTCGAGGAGATTGAATTTTGAGAAAATTTTAAAAATCTTGGCCGCTAGTTGTCTTATTCCGAAATTCTCGATACCTATCGCTTAAATGCAAAAGAGAAGACATGAACACTTACCGTTAATAAACTTTCTTCGAGCATCTAAAACTGAATATGAACCTTAGATCTTCTATGAAACAAAGAAAGCATGCCGAGCATAAATAATTTCGATAATATCAATGAACAACAAAAAAAAAAATCTCTCAAATACATATTTTGAAGAAATCGATGAGGTTGCTCTCTTTGAGCGATCGAAACTTATCTAATAGCTCGAAAATCGAACAGACCGATTTTTAAAGATCTGCTTCTTTCTAATATAGATTATCTTGTGATACTAGTGCTTAAAAACCGATATTATATCATGACTAATGAGAAAATATCCATGGTTTTTAGCTGTCAAAACAGATTTTCTTTTAATTCAATGAAAAATTCAGTTAAACAAATTCATCTCACCGTATATAAAATGAGTTGACAGAAAATGATTGTTATCAATCTCTCAATGAATGCTGGTGGATAATTCCATAGATTTCTTGAACGAATTATGGTGTGTTGAATACCTATCTAATCTATGAGACTGACATACTTAAGTGATCTTGAGTTATTTTCGAAATGCATACATTTTCTTTACATTAGTAACCAAAACTAACTGTTCAAGTCATTAATATCTTCTGATAAGAATAAAAGTCTTTATTTTTGAGTGATGCATGTTCATATGGCAAGACATAAATGAACTTGTAAGAAGTAAACATAGCAAAACTATGAATTTCAGCGTCATGAATTCATTATTTTATAGAGACTATAGAAAGTTCTCAAGAAAATTCATATGCAAGGACACTTTCTTTAAAGTGAACTCATCTATTTTACTTCACTCAATTTTTGGTGAAATTACACGTATCTTTGGATCACCAATTATTTTCTTTTTCCATTCAAAGAGGTTCGCAACTTCTCTGAGACAATATTACTTGAGTGTTCATCTTGTACAAAAAGTTTTGGTCTTCTCATTGAGATATTCATAAGTTTACTTTAGTTTTATATTTTCTATGAAACTATTTTGTTCACAATACGCGAAATTCATGAGTAAATCAGCTCAAAGAACAAATATTTCTGTATAAAAACCAGGACGAAGTACTATTTTAGCACGAAACATGATAGATGACCACGAAATTCTTGCAATGCGACAAGTAATAATCGTTAAATCGTGCACCATTCTATGGCGATGTTCTGATCGGTATAACGATCAAGGTATCGACTAAAGACCAGTGTTTGTTGTCGACATACCTAAAAAAAAATAAAGTTAGTTGCGCAACGAAGTAATAGTGACTTACTAACAGAAATTGTCGATCGATAAGCGACCATCGTTGATGAAGGTGGTCGGCCAGCAAACATCGATGGCTGCTGATATTGAGATGGATAATTCGTAGCAATAGCGCCATATGATCTTCGTGTCACAAATTTGTATAATTTTCCCTGAATCATCTGAGTACGGTGCAGTACGATTTTATTACACATAAGTTCAATAACTTCGACACACACTGTTATCAATGCAATATTACAAAAACAGTTCAGCCGCCCATCCGGTGTCCTTCTCGGGATATTAGTGCCGCAAATTCCCATAAATATGAATTAGACCACTGCAGATCTGCCATCTTCATTGTTTAAAAGAATAAAACTTTATGTACCAATGTGACTAGAACCGGACAAAAACTGTCGGTATGCTGATCAGTATAAGAGGTGTAGGTGTGAGCATAGTCCTTTTCTTTACTCACACCCACACTCCAGATAATAAAAAGAAAGATAAGTGAGAGGTGCTATAAATCTCGACTGACACATGACAATATAGGATTAATTTATGATGCTTACTAATCTTACCTTTACAACATACGACACACGTGCAGGTTTTTATATCTTGCTTAGGCAAATCTCGCTCATTTTGGATATAACATTTAAAGATTTTTTTTATCATGTCATATAACCGTCTCTTTGAATTATTTACCATGATAAATTAAATGCACTTGTGAAGGAAAGTTTGAGAAATAGATCTTCAATGATGTAAATCTTACAATTTGAAAACTTTGTAAGGCTTATCTTTTAACACATATGAAGATAAACTTGACAACTACTACCTATTGTCAATAAACTATAAATGAATTGAAAAATTTTAGTTTTCGGTTCTATTTTTACCTCGGGCTGTCTAAACAACTCACAGTCACATAGTTTTTCTCCTAGGCTTTGATTGTATAGCGAATGGCGAGTCTTGTTATTATTTGGTCTTGTTAAGTAAATGTCTATTTATTTGTAAGTCATGATGTGACATCACGAGATGCATTAGATATTCCATACTGTTAGGTCAGATGTTCGAATTTATCTTTCGTCTACTATTTCAGTTTTTCTTCTGTTTTCTGAACCAATTTCACAGGGATAGATAGACCGATGGACTAGAAATGACAAGGTTTAATCATCCATGACAATTTCGATTAAGTCATCTTGATAACAAGTTTTTCGGTACAACGACCCTTTATCGGAAAACAAAATCATTGTTAAAAGCGTTTGAAAACGTATCAAGAGCGATATTTTATTATTGTTCAAACATTGAATAATTTGAAAGATTCTACTTAGGGCAATCCAAAAGTAGTGTCGTCAAGGTCTTATTTCCTTATGGTAAGCAAAAAAATTTTCTTTTTTTTATGAATAGATAGAGCGTCTTTCGTTCTATTTTTCTATGCTATTTGATCGTTATTCAACTAATGTCACAATAGTAAAATTTCGATAAGAACTGTTTTTGTCCAAAACACGCTGGTGATATTGGATCATAATGCGTGTGGCACTTTTGCAATCCACTTTAGTATCACTTAATGCGTTGTATTAAAAAAAACAAAATATACCACAAGATGCGGCGTGAAAAGCTCTACAATTTATGAAGAACCGCTTATTTTATAGTTCCACTTTTTGTTTTCAAAATGGACAAAACTCTGAACTACCAAATTTCATCGTTGCAGAAACAACATTGTTTTTTGGTAAAAAACGAATCCGGTTTTCCTATCTCATCTTTTCATTACCTAATATGTTTTATTTAAAAAAAACAAAATACACTACAAGATGCAGCGTGAAAAGATCTACAATTTACAAAGAACAATTTGTAAAACAATGAGATAGAAAAAACCAAATTCTTCTTTTACCAAAAAACAAATCTCGTTTTCGCAACGTCGAAATTTGGTTCCTCAGAATTTTGTCCATTTTGAAAACAAAAAGTGGAACTATAAAATAAGTGGTTCTTCAAAAACTGTAGAGCTTTTCACGCCGTATCTTGTGGTATATTTTGTTTTTTTTTTAATACAACGTATTAAGTATGAGAAAATGAAATGAAAAATTACCCCATTTTTCTATGCCACACCCATTATTATCGAAATACCACCAGCAAGTTTTGGACAAAAACAGTTCTTATCGAAATTTTACTATTGTGACATTAGTTGAATAACGATCAAATGGCATAGAAAAATAGAACGAAAGACGCTCTATCTATTCATAGAAAAAAGAACATGTTTTTTGCTTACCATAAGGAAATAAGACCTTGACGACACTACTTTTGGATTGCCCTAAGTATAAAATATGGTTTCAAATATATTAGATCATTATCTAATCGTCATAAGTATCTCGATCAAG